ATCTCAGATATACCGGAAACAATGCTGCCACACTCAGTCTTCATCTTTGAGAGTTGGCTAGTTCTGGTAGTCAGATCTCTGACAAAAAATTTGGAGCCCTGGTTCCGCTCAATCGCTTCTTCAATATGAGCAGTATCAAAGTTGCGTAAGTCCCGCCGTGTGTATTTGGAGATTTGAGTGTTCAGTTGCCTGTATGCTGTCAAATCTGTTGAAGACTGCAGCATCATTTCCCATCTGATAGCTATGGGATTAAGAGTGTGATGTGAGAGTTTGTGTTCTTCTGCTGTGGGTCTTGCAGAACTTAGTTCCGACAGCATGGACAGTTTTCACGAGCTTGTCATTCATATCGCAATGCAGTAGGCATTGAAATCTTCTAGGCACTGAAAACAGTTTTGTAACTCGAGCTGTAAGGTTTCGGGAAAAACTTCATTAGATCAACAACTCTGGCTGTATATAAATGTATACAAACGGCTGTGCAACATATTGATAATAAAATACCCACCATAGGCCTCCTTTTGGATACGACGAGAGCATACAGTTAAATATATAAACAAAGTTCAATTTAATATAGTTTTGAATAAATTACAAGTTTCGGGAATTCGTGGAATGGCCTGTAAATGGTTCCAATCATATCTGACAAACAGGAAGCAGACAGTTCAAATCGAACACCGCAACGATGAAAAACGGGAAATCATTGCAGTACAGTCTCAAACCCGGGCCCTCACATGTTCAATCCCTCAAGGCAGTGTCTTAGGATGTCTTCTGGTTTTAATATACATAAACGATTTACCTAAGATAATAAATAACGAAAACACATTAAGCGCACTCTTTGCCGACGATGTGTTAGTGTTAGTGAATTGCGATAAAAACAAAAATTATAACTCTATTGTCTACAACACTCTACAAACTATAACAAACTGGTTCGAAAATCCCAACTTAGATATTAACTTTAAAAAGACAGAAGAAGAAATTATGCAATTTAAAACATACAAAAACAGTCCATTAACTTTAAACAATTTTTAATAATATACAGCTTTCAGCAGTCTTTGCCAGAGAGCTATCTACCAAAAAAAGCCAACCATCGTAGCTGAAGGCCGAATGTAGAAGCATCGTTTCCGGGACACCTAAGATTTTGAGTGAGATTGAGAAGTTCTATGGGCAGCTAAACACGTCATCGTTATAGCCACACTGAAGTATGAGTAATGATCGAAGCGTAAGTCTTATCGGACACTTTTCTCATGATTTTCCGGACTTCAGTTTGAGCGTGATTAAAAATGCTCTCCAACACCTTAAAAACGGCAAGTCCTCGGGCGAGGATAGAATTACAGCGGAGCTTCTGAAAGCGGGTGGAAAACTGGTATTTTAAGTCCTTCAGAAGCTTTTTAATTCTGTCCACCATGGTCGCATTACTCCGGAGGCGCGGAACAGAAGTGCGGTGGTATTGTTCTTCAGGAAAGGCCACAACGCTCTCTTGAAAAACTACAGACCGATTTCCCCGAAAAGCCACGTCGTGCTATTTTGGAGAGTCATGACGAATCATCTCGCAAGTCCGTTTCTGAAAAGGCTTTAGCATCATGGACCACATACAAATTCGGCAAATTTTACAGAAAGCCGCCACTTTAATTTGTGTATGTGAACTATGAGAAAGCCTTTGATTCTGTCGAAATTTGGGCGGTGCCACAGTCCCTTCAGCGGTGCCAAGTTGACTGTCGGTATATCGAAGTGCTGAAGTGTTTGTACAGTAGGGCTACGATGGCTATCCGAGTACAGAACCAGAGTACGAAACCTATCCAATGGCAGAAAAGTGTAAGACAGTTTGACGTTATATCCCTGAAACTCTTTACCGCTCCGCTACATTGGAAGACATCTAATGGACTGGAAAGGATACGGTATTAACATCAATGGCGACTACATCAACCCTTTTATTTGCCAACAACATAGTTCTTATGGCAGACCTAGGACTAGGACCTATACTCTTTGCTCAATGTCCTCAATGCTGTCTCTCAACGATGAGGTCTTAAAATTAACATGAAAAAAAAAACAAAGATCATGTGTAATGTCCATGTCACACCTATGCCAGTAGTTGTTGGGAGCACTAAGCTCGAAGTTGTTGACGAGTATGTTTATCTGGGACAAATTGCCCGACTAGGTACGTCTAACTTGGACGTATTCAATTATTAGAAATTACAACACAACATCTTCTCGTCAGATACCTCAAAACTTAAAAACGAGATTGCACAACCAGTGCGTGTTACGTGGTCCTTCACTGCTGGTCTCATAAAGAAGCCCAAATTCGCTCAGCGAGCTATGGAGAGGCGTATGATCAAGGTTTCACTGTATAATAAACTTAGAAAGGAGGATATCTGCAGTAGAACGACAGTAACCGGCATAACCCAACGGATTATTAAGCTGAAGTAGCAATGAGCCGGCCATGTAGCTCGAAGAATCGACCACCGATGGGAAAGCAAGGTTCTCAAGTGGCAGTCTCGTACCGTTGCGGGAAGTGTAAGGCGGCCCCCCACTAGATGGAGGAATGACGACCTGGTAAGACATGCAGGAAGTCGATGCCTATGTTCAGCAGTGGACTTGTGAAAGGCTGAAATTACTGAATTAAAAGTGTCACGACAAACGCATATTTATCATTGGTACTTTTATTAAAATTTACCTTAACCGCAGTGCTTAGCTTTTTATTCGATATGAATTAGAAAACGTGCAGTGTCTAGTTACGCCCGAGCGCTGAGCCATCTGCATCCATCGACTTCCTTTTTTCTATTGATAAAAGAGAACTTTTATTAAGGTTAAGGTCGCCTTTGTATATTGTATTTAAATATTTAAAATTGTTGTAATCTTATAGTTTATACAATAAAGTATAAATAATCTTTTCCCAGGTCGTCATACTATGTAGCATGATGGTGTCTATATATCTGAATTATAATTAAAAGTAGGTCAGGACGGGTGAAACGTTTATGTTTATTTTTATTTGCGTCACTGACCAGTTATATATGAATTTACTACCTATAATTTTACTGGCTAAAACAACATGATATCAAATGCCTTTAACTCCTCCCCTCGCCCCGCACTCGCAGTCGCCCTTTCCTAAATCGTTCAGAAAGACAAATCCAAAAAAGACTAATTATTAATTATTTATTATATCACCAAATAAACAAGCACCTTTCTTTAGCAGTCAACCTTGAAGTATACATAAAACTTCTCATAATAGATTATCAGATACACTTGACAGACGATTCTTCTATATCTATAACAGAATCATTTTCTGATGATGAAGACGTGGAAGAGTCCGCCACATTGGTTATAAAACTATCTACAGTTTTATCAATGGCATTATCCAATTCATTTTATTTGTATTGTTGTTTTATGACGCAGTATAATGCAGTTTTTCCACTTTATATATCAATATTGTATAGTTCTTTTTCAAATAGTTTTTGACATCTCCGATTTTAAAAGTGGCATTGTTTCGCGCCACGTAGCCTATAACTTCTACCCAGACCAGCTCAATGGGATTGAGTTCGCAGTGGAAGGTCGGCAAGCGCAGAACTTCAATACTGGCCTATTTTCCGTTTCATCCATGACATATGACTGGTATTTTTCCCTAACATTTTTTACTTTTAAAGTAATTCAGCTTTAGTTTCCTTATTTTCAAATACTATATCATTTGAGGATAGGTATTGTTACGAGCTTGAGGTTCGTGACAATAAAAATCGCCGATAATATTACCTAAATTAACACTTTAATTTCCTTTACACAAATTAAAACTTAAAACATTAATAATTAAGCACACTAATTCACTTTATTCCGCTCCGAAGCTTCACTTGTCTCGCCAACTTCAATACTTCCCCGATCGCGTATTGCAGCGCCTTTATATAGGGCTCTTCCACGAAAACATCCAGAATATTCCAGAGTATTCGAGTAAATACGCGCGCCAACCAACCAAGCGCAGAAAGATCGAGTGTAGAGCTTCTAGAAAGTTTAGTTCTTCAATTTGATACTAGATGGCGCTGTCGGTATAAATTTGTCATGTCATTTTCTGGAAAGCTCTCTCCTCGCTCTGTTACCCGACACTAGATGGCGCTAGTGCCATGAGATGAGGTGTCAACTTAGCCGCGCAACAGTATTCTTGAATGGATTGTTTCCCGCAACTTGTGACTGGCAATCGTTCTTGGTGCCTAGAGACACGCTCAGCGCATAACGATACGTAATCGATAATGAAATGTATGGTAGCAATACCTGTCGTTTTGATTCGATGCTAACATAATACTTCAGTTCAATGTACGTTTTTCCGCCCGCCCTAGAAACATACTATAGAATATCTCCCAAGTCTAATTAGAGTAACTCACGTAGCTAGTAGGTTGATGCCTTTACTGCTGCTCTTCCTTACCTACGGACGTATTTTAAGTCAAGCTTAATTGTGGTTATTACGTTTAGTGGCTATATTTTATATAACTCCTTCGCTTTGGCAAACAACAATAGACGTAGCGTATGAGGGAAAGTATGACATTTTCTTACAAAAATGCAAATCACCCTGTCGTTTAACTACAAGTCTCTAGCAACCTGGACGTGCTAGAGCCACGTCGCAGCTATATTATTGTTGCAGCACTAATGGGTCGGCACGACCGGGGACAGACCACACTCTCGCATAATATTAGCGTAAAATAGCAGCACAATGCTGCTATTTTACGCTAATATTACGAAACGTATGGTGAGTGTAAAGAACCGGAGGCCCTTTTTACTGGAAACGAGACATTCCATCTTATTTCTCAGTTGTGTTACTCCTAACGCCTTTTGATTCTTAATCGAGGTTGTAATAGATGTCTATGGGCAACAGGATACACTTACCATCAGTTGGCTTGTGTGCTCGTTTGTCACCTTTATTCAATAAAATAACACCTACTGATGTCAGAATTCACTCATACAGTGGTGAAGGTGAGAGTTAAAATGGTTGTGGTGAGTGTGCCATTAACATGGTCGCTGTGTGAGTGCAGAGCAGGCGGCGGAGGGCGGCGGGGCGGGCGGCGGAACTTGCGGCTCGAAGGCGGCGGCGCCCTGCAAGGTGTGCGGCGACAAGGCCTCCGGGTACCACTACGGCGTCACCTCCTGCGAAGGCTGCAAGGTACCAAAACATAGTTTTAAATATTAGAATGACCAGATGACCAGATGAATGACCAGACCGTTGTGTGGGACTAACGTGAACTTGTTTGTACCATAGATGGTCACACAGTGTCAGCATCGTTGAAAAACTGCGATTTTATTATAAGTTTTCGGTATTTCGTGTATACACACAAAACAATGCCTCAGTGATGTATTCTCATTATTTTGAATGTATTTCTTTTTTTTTTAATTCTTCTACTACCTATTAGTAATATTTGTTTTGGTTTGGTTTATCCATTTCTAACGTAAATTTTATTGAATATTTAAGAAAGAAATATTAATTTCTACACTTTTATAATAAATAACTACCCTGCTATTGAAATCTGCCAAATATTTCACATCATTTCTAAGTGGTGCTGTCCTGGTGGGTATCTGGGTAAATGTCGAGGATACCCTCATTAACGCATCACTGAAATGTATAGTGGAATACATATCTTTCAATTAAGATAAGATTGGTTAAAGAGATAGCATCACTCATATGTATCACAAGTAAATTTAGTTCAATATCTCTACTGACACCTTTATATTCAACTAATGTTCATCGTTCTTGTATCTATCTCTGGATCCGTATATTTTTAATAGTACAGGTGGCACAGATGTCTGACCTGAATCTTCTACAAATCTATTATTACCTTTATAACTGAAAAGAAAGTTTAAGTTTATTTTTTGAACTGTTATGTATGACAAATACGCGAAATTTATTAAGTACTTAATTACTAATTATTCGATCGTATTTGATGGAATATCCTTGCCATTGGGCTAAATAAAATTTTTATTACGTTATAACATGACAGGACGAACGAAAATAGCTCAATCAGATTCGGTGATACACTCGGATCTACATTATGAGAACGTGCGGACAAGAGAGACATGGATTCATAGAAAATGCATCAGAATGCTACCGAATATTACTTACAATTTTTGATTAAGGAATACGCAGAACTGTCTTACAATATTATGCTATATTAAATTGACACATATACTTAGTTTTGAATTTGTCAAAAAAATATTGTAATAAACATATTTAATCAAAAATCTATATACCTATTACAAATTAAAACAAAGTCCACAACGCAACCGGTAATAATATTTAAAAGTAAAAAAAAACAAAGCAATTCTTCAATACATCGATCGTCATATTTCTTCTTCTTCGTCATCAGGTCGAACAAATCCTGCAATCAGTCGTAGGAACGATATTTATTTTCAGCACTTAAAATGAAATGAAAAAATGATAGGAATCTGAAGAGTACACTTCCGTCGTTTAAATCAATATAAAGTAAATTAAATATTATTTGATCCAAGTGTTTGTAATGCTGTTTGTATTCCTGGTGTGCATGTCTATTATAGGCTGCTAAATATGAACAGACTTCCATTTAAGAACCTCAAAGGATTGATAAAATAAAGAAGTATGTATCTAATAATACTGCCTATACTTGAATACAGAAGTACATACAAACAGATGAACTACTGCTTTGTCACTTTTCCCTCATTCATACTTTCTTCATGACCAAACTGCCGAAGCACTATTAATTTATAGACATATTAATATATAAGCTAGTGTATTGTGAGAAAGAAAATAGTTAGTAGCAAGTAATTAGCGATGTCAACCGGGGAAGAGCCGCTGCAGTAATATGCGTCTCTTACAGGGCTTCTTCCGACGCAGCATTCAGAAGCAGATCGAATACCGCTGCCTGCGCGACGGCAGGTGCCACGTGATCCGACTCAACCGCAACCGCTGCCAGTTTTGCCGCTTTAAGAAGTGCCTGGCTGTCGGCATGAGCCGAGACTGTAAGTGTCGCCGCACAAACTACACTCAGCGTCACAAAAATCGCACCTCTCTGAGTTTGCGCGAAAAATGGCTGTAATGGCTAGAAACGAATACCGCCCACGGACCGAAAACAAAACCCCCCCCCCCTCCCCCCACTGTTCCTCTCCTCCCCCCCCAACCCCCCCCCCAAAAGCCCCCCCTCCTCTCCCCCCCCCCCCCAACCCCCCCCCCCCCCACCCCCCCCCCTTATATTTATATAAATATTCATATGTTTGAAATAGGTATTTGAATAGCTTTACATTATTAAAAAAAATCATGAAATCATTAAAAAATTTATCATTATAGAGCGTCAAAAAAAACACTGTCAAATGCTCGTTAGTAAGGATGCTAGTTACACCACCTAAAAAGGGTATGCAAGGGTCGATATGGATGAAATATGGGTCAGTCGTAATTTAGACTTTGCAGTGAACACACGTGAACAAGTAACCCAAGTAAGAACAAATAAAGATGGACACCAGCTCTGAAGAAGCCGCTCAAGTGATTGCCCTATTGCAGTCGGGGATTGCAACATTGCCATTGGCCTGTTGTGTTAAAATAATATTTAAATTATTTTTTTCGGATGTGTGATTTTTTTTGACGCCGAGTGTATGAAGACACACTTCATTTATATACACATGATTATTTCTCGTAGTTGAGTTCGTATTTAATTACTTATTAGTTTTAAATGCTTTGCCCTTTATGCATTTGTTAGGTTTTAAATAATTTTATTTCTTTACTACTTACCTACTACAAAATGTTTCTAAAATATTGCAACCATCTTATATTGAAATCATCCTATATGGTTGAGCTATAGGATTTCGGGTTCGATTCCAGGAATCATCATCATCATCATCATCATTACAGCCCTTCACAAGTCCACTGCTGAACATAGGCCTCCCCCAAGTAATGCCACAAAGCACGGTCCTGAGCCACCTGCATCCATCGACTTCCTGCATATCTTACCAGGTCGTCACTCCATCTAGTGGGGGGTCGCCCTACACTACGCCTACCGGTACGAGGCTGCCACTCGAGAACCTTTCTTCCCCATCGGTTATCGGTTCTTCGAGCTATATGGCCGGCCCATTGCCACTTCAGCTTACTAATCCGTTGGGCTATGTCGGTCACTCTGGTTCTACTGCGGATATCCTCATTTCTGAGTCTATCACGCAGAGAAACTCCGAGCATAGCCCTCTCCATAGCTCGCTGAGCGACCTTGAGCGTCCTCATACGGCCAGCAGTGAAGGACCACGTCTCTGATCCGTAAGTCATCACTGGCAACACGCACTGGTTGTACACTTTAGTTTTCAGAGATTGAGGTATACCTGACGAGAAGATGTGTCGTAATTTCCCGAACGCTGCCCAGCCGAGTTGAATCCGTCGATTGACCTCTCGGTCGAAGTTGGACTTACCTAGTCGGACTATTTGTCCCAGGTAAACGTACTCGTCAACAACTTCGAGCATAGTGCTCCCCACAACTACCGGCATAGGTGTGACATGGACATTGAACATAATCTTTGTTTTGTCCATGTTCATCTTAAGACCTATCCGTTGGGAGACACCATTGAGGTCATTGAGCATAGTGCTAAGGTCCTCCAGCGATTCTGCCATAAGGACTATATCGTCGGCAAATCGAAGGTGAGTGATGTACTCGCCATTGATGTTAATACCGTATCCTTTCCAGTCCAGTAGCTTGAAAACGTCTTCCAAAGCAGCGGTGAAGAGTTTCGGGGATATAACGTCACCCTGTCTTACACCTCTCTGCAGTTGGATAGGTTTCGAGCTCTGGTTCTGTACTCGGATAGCCATCGTAGCCCTACTGTACAAACACTTCAGCACTTCGATATACCGACAGTCAACTTGGCACCGCTGAAGGGACTGCAGCACCGCCCAAATTTCGACGGAATCAAAGGCTTTCTCATAGTCCACATACGCCAGGCAAAGTAGCAAATTGTACTCGTCAGTCTTCTGTACAATCTGCCGCAGGGTATGTATGTGGTCTATGGTACTGAAGCCTTTTCGGAAACCGGCTTGTTCGGGAGGCTGGAAGTCGTCGAGTCTGCTTGCGAGACGATTCGTAATGACTCTCGAAAACAGCACGTAGACGCGGCTCAGAAGGGAAATCGGTCTGTAGTTCTTCAAGAGGGCGTTGTCGCCTTTCTTAAAGAACAAGACCACCGCACTTCTGCTCCACGCCTCTGGAGTAGTGCCACCATGGAGGACGGAATTGAAGAGCTTCTGAAGGACTTCAAGTACCGGTGTTCCACCCGCTTTCAGAAGCTCCGCTGTAATTCCATCCTCGCCCGGGGCCTTGCCGTTTTTAAGGTGTTGGAGAGCCATTCTAATCTCGCTCAGACTGACGTCCGGGATATCATCGGAATAGTGTCGGATAAGACTTGCTCTTGGATCGTTACTCACACTTGAGTGTGGCTCCAACGATGATGTGTACAGCTGCCCATAGAACCTCTCAATCTCACTCAGAATCTCAGGTGTCCCGGAAACGATGTTGCCACACTCAGTCTTCAGCCTTGACAGTTGGCTCTTTCTGGCAGACAGATCTCTGGCAAAGACTTTGGAGCCCTGGTTCCGCTCGATCGCTTCTTTAATACGAGAAGTATTAAAGTTGCGTAAGTCTCGCCGCATGCATTTGGAGATCTGTCTATTCAGTTGCCTGTATGCTGTCAAATCTGTTGACGATTGCAGCCTCATCTCCCGTCTAACAGCCATGAGATTAAGAGTGTGATCGGAGAGTTTTTGTGTTCTTCTGCGGCGGGTCTTGCAGAACTTAGCTCCGACCGCATGGACAGTTTCCACGAGCTTGTCATTCATATCGTCCACTGCATTGCAATCTTGTAGGCACTGAAAGCGGTTGTGTAACTCGAGCTGAAAGTTTTCGGGATTCTGGATTAGAGCACGAGGGGGACGGAGCGTTGACTTCATTAGACGAGACCTCTCCAACTTAACGTTTAGGTTCAGTGTGCCTCTAACCATTCGGTGATCGCTGCCAGTTTTCACCCTTGCGATCACTGAGACATCACTGAACAGTTGGCGTCTGGTCGTCATAATGAAGTCAATCTCATTTTTTGTCGAACCGTCGGGGCTCGACCAGGTCCACTTCCTGTGGGGCCGCTTCTGGAAGAAAGAGTTCATCATAAAGAGTCCCTCTTTCTCCATAAAGTCGGCCAGCTGCTGGCCCCTTCGGTTCCGTTGTCCTATTCCAAATTTCCCTAACTTCAGCTCACCGTTTTCTTTTGTGCCTAGTTTTGCGTTGAAGTCTCCCATCAACACCGTGTAGTGGGTTTTGGAGGAATGCATGGCTTTGGAAATATCCTCATACATTTCCTCCACCTCCTCATCGGAATGTGCCGAGGTTGGTGCGTAAACCTGTATGACCTTCAGCGAATACCGTTTGGTGATTCTGAGTATCAGGTACGCGACCCTCGTCGACACACTCCCAATCTTTACAACGTTGTTGACGAGAGACTTGTGGACGATAAATCCGACACCTCCTTGGGACAGATGGTCGCCCTCCCGGTGATAGAACAAGTTGCCGGATTCGAGAATCACCGTGTCCTCCCCCTCTCTTCGGACCTCGGATAATCCTATAATACTCCAGCGCAACTTGTCTATCTCTTCTTCCAGCTCCAGGATCTTCTCGTCAGTCCTCAGTGTGCGTGCGTTAAATGTTGCCAGGTCGAGTCGTCGTAGGTGGCAACCGAACCTCCACCGGAGATTCTTAGCACCCCCTGCCCCGCCGTTACCATGGTCGCCACCGTAGCCAGGAATAGCGGGGCCGCCGGGGACTGGGGGCCGTCTATTTGTGTAATTGTTCATGGGGGGTATATTGCCATAGTTGCCACGCTTGGCGAGCGGGTTGGCAACCGCAGTTTTTTTTTATCGTACAGTTGCTGTTATCAGGAAGATGCTGCTGCCCATCTCCTGCCTGTTTCCCTCTGTCGGCTTTTACGACACCCACGGGAAGATATGGGGTAGTGGATATTCTTAACCGCCCCTACACGGCAAATATATAAGGTATTCCAGGAATAATAACTCCGAAATTTTGCTGGCGTGAGATTAACGAAAGTAGACTGTATTTAGCTGCGTGGTTCGTTATGAACCAAATAAAATAACGGATGTGGCACGTGGTAATTTTGGACAATATACTTGCTATAACTTAATTTGCTATACCGACACGACGAAAAACATGAGCTGCCAAGGAAAGAACAACAAATGAAAACAGCTCAAGATTTCGGAGGCGTGGAGCAGAATCTAATAAAATTTTATAAATAAAATTTTAATGACACCGACAAATTATAGAGAAGACCAATTTATCTCTCTGTCTTGTGTATGAGAAAGCCTTTGATTGCGTCAAAGTTTGGGTGGTGCTACAGTCGCTTCGGTTATGCAATGGCACCGGGTATAGATCCGTCTTCATAATCACAGTAAAACTAAAAAACTTCAGAGAAGCGTAAAACATTGTGACGGCATATCCCCGAAACTCTTTACCACTGCATTGGAAGACGTTTTCTAGCTACAGGACTGGAAATGATATGACAAAATGAGCATCGATGACGAGTAAATCAAGTACCTATCTTCGATTTGTCACGATTTGACCGAACAGTACCCGGTTGACCGAGCTTTGCTCGGTTTTTTTTTAATTCGTGTGTTTTGGAAATTATATTTAGATACAAATTACATACTGATGAAATACGAATAATATTTTTTGATCTTAGCGACATAATAGAAAAAACTGAACTGGTTATTTGAATAAAAAATCATGAGAGCAATTAGTTTAATTTAAATTTTCGTGTTTTTAAAAAATACTAAAAAAAAGGGCTCGAAAAAATAGATTTTCTCAAAAAAGAAAGGAACTTGAAAAAAAAATTAAAAAAATCGGTCGGTCGGTCTGGGTTCGAACCATGGTATTACGCTTTTGTGACCGCCCAGTATACCAATTAAGCTATTTGTAATCATTAATAAACTGTCAATATTTACCTTCTTATTCTAACGATATTGTAGCAGTTTTTCATTGCCTAAAAACACGGACAAAAAGACATTTTCTAAAAATAAATCCTCGATCCATTTATTGCCCCCGAAACTCCCTGCACACAACATTTTATGAAAATCGTTGGAGCCGTTTCCGAGATTCCGATATATATATATCTGTCCTTTTTATCTTTATAATCAAAATGCGTGGTAATACATTATTTTAACTGATTGTCATTCATAAAATATAGACATAGACATAAGTTTTATTAGCATCAATACACTCACAAAATATAAATTTATAAATAAATAAAAACATAAAAACACACGGGGTAGAAGATGAAAAACATAAATAAAATTAAATCTCAGCACGAGTGAGTGACGTGACGACAAAAAGGATTCCGAGTCAGCATATGCTGTCGCAGGTGCTGGCAGCAGCGCTGGTTTCCAGCGGAGCCCTGACAAATATTGCTTCTAACTTAAGTTTGTGCTAACATTCCATTTAAAAATAATGTATCAACCATTCACTCAAAGTATACATTTTTAAGTATATTTATATATAATAGTCAAAAAATACACATACATACGAGTACACGTATATATACACGCTCACACATAAAAATAATATATCATATTATGTACACATTAATTATTCATAATATATATTTGTTAAATCGTACTTATGAAATAACCTGCCACTACGCGTGAAATTATGACTTTTGAAATGCTAAAAGGTGTTCTTTTAATTGAGCTTTAAAACCGTTTGTTGTTTTAAACCGTTTCCCGTATAGTAAATTGTTCTAACATTTAGTGGCCATGTATATAAAACTGCGTGCATAATGAAATAATAGTAATAATATAATTTATTTAGTTCCAAACATACACACAAATTAACATAACATAATTATTTAATGGAATGAAACTAAAAAGGCGTCTACTCAGCAGAAATGTTACAGAAACCACATAGTGGTAACCACAACTACGAGTACTGTACTGGTTTTCAGTAAACGCCAGAGACATAGGTGGAATAAAATAAACTTAACTAATTATGCTAATCACAGGTGCCAACACTTATGAAAATACACACTTTACTTTTATATATATAAAAACACATTCATAACAATTTAAAAATATCTAACGCCTACTATTTACTACGCACACACGAATTCGTAAGGGTCGATCGTTCGGCAAAAATGTTGTGAATTGAATCAGTTGTGTCTCGCCAGCAACGCAGTCAGGAATTTGCATTTAGAAAAAGTCTAAATAAGGGGTTTTTAGGTGCTAATTAGGTGCCAAGTTTAAAAATTAGATGCTCTAAAAATTTCACCGCAACGAAACAAAATGTATCGCTAGGCAACGCAATGACTTAGCAGCTTCAGCACTTAATTAGCACTTAATTCCTTGCTATTAATATTTATCATATATCCATTATCACCACTGCGTTGCTAGCGATACGGTTTGCCAGCAACGCAAATTTCAACAGTTCGTTGCGGTAAAAATGTTAGAGCGCCTAATTTTAGAACTTGGCACCTAATTGGCTCTTAAAAGGCCCTAATTTTGGCTTTTTCCAAATGCGAATTCCTGACTTTGTGTCACTGGCGATACACAACTAATTGAACCGCAGAAGGGCGCGCGTATGCGAAATTGTTGCCCTAATCACATTCAACTTGAAATAATTCGAAATAAAAATAGAGCCTTATTAACTCGTCTTCAGGAACTGTAATAATAATATATCATTATTTATATAAGTTCGACCGAGAGGTTAATCGATGGATCCGAATAATCCGAAGGATCCGAACAAATCGAATTACGAAATATCTTTTCGACAGGTTTACCTCAAAACTTGAAAATAAAAGTATAAAAACAGTGCGTGTTGCCAGTGAGGACATATGGATCTGAGATGTATATATATATATAGATGTCCACCCAATAAGGCTGAATGTCCCAATGAGTCAGTATGAGTATGTATATGTATGATATATATATATATATATATATATATATATATATATAAATATATGTGTGTGTGTATCAGCTGTGCGGTACGGGCGCGGGCCGAAGAGGCCGCGAGACGGCGAGGCGCCCACGGAGCTGTCGCGTGGGGCAAGCGGGGGTGGTGGTGGAATTGCGGGCGCGGGTGGTGGTGGCGGCGGGGGTGTGGTCGCGCAGCCACCGTCGGAGCGCGCAGACGACGCGGCCGAGCTGTCGCTGGAGCTCGCGCGCCGCGTAGTGGCCGCGCACCGCACCAACAACTCCTACACCGACGAGCTGCGCCGCTCGCTTCAGCTCCACACCGTCATCATGCTCGATGATTCTGAAAACGAAGGTGACCACTGGCTCCATTTACTAAATTATAATAATGTGCTCTAGATTGAATTTCGGTCAGAAACCAGTCTCAACGGTGACTAGCCATCTGCGCAGAACAGGATTGTAGTTCCCGAGTGTACGCACAAGCACAGGTACACTCTCTTTTCCCTCACACTTGTAGTCCAACGGGGTGGCAATCCGACACGACAGGATCAGGAACAAGACTATTACTACTACTAATGGTTATACTTGCTATCCAAGGCGCGGAGGCAAAATAACGCCAACTTCCTGGCTACGAGCTGATCCTGAGACATTCTTGATAGAAAACCCAACAATTGGTTTCGGCTCATGGTCAGCAACCGTGTTTACGGTCACTCGAACAACGAGGAGTCAAATAATACACATTCGAAAAGCTTTGCACGCGTCGTATCTACTGTTTACCTTCCGCTGTTCCAGTTTTTATTCATTGATCTTACGGAACATTGACCTAAAAAGCTGACCTTAACCTTCACCGCCTTTGCGCATTCTCCATTTTTTACATTCAACTGCAGGAACTATACACCTGCTTTATATTCATGAAAAAAGGTCTCCTGTAAACAGGACATTTACATTATATACAGTCGGCTCACTTGAGGTATCACTGCTCGTAGCAGTGAGCGTCTGCCACCCAACACTTACGTTTGTGTCACCCTCAATCCTACGGTAAAATAATAACGCATTTTTAAGGAAATAAAATTATACTAGCCAATAATGTTTGTACAGCAAATTTCGTTTACTCGTAAGGTAGGTACCCAAATAATCCATAATTTATATTATAGCTGTGTATGTAACATATCGTCTTGGTTCTCCGGGCTGACAACACATCTATATAATTTAGTTTGTTTAAAGATAGAAACATAATATTTTCATAAGCTACAGTAACCATTTACCATTAGATAGACTGTGAGCTCATTCGCCGTGCTAATGTTATAAATTTTACATTTACTTAACCTTTAGAAGCGACATACAGTCTCTTCACGTGGTAGAGCCATGATGCAGATATATAATGGTGGTCGCATAAATGGGTTGGCTCGACCGGAGAAGAACCTCGATCTCACATAATACCAAGATGAAATAGCAGCTTAATGTTGCTATTTCGTACGGAGATGTAGATGTAGATGTAGATGTCTATGGACCTCAGTATCTACTTACCAGCAGGTAGCCTGTGTGCTCGTTAGATACTTTTGTAATTAAAAAAAACACATTTTTATTTATTTGAATATTGAATAAAATCACTAATTGTAACGAGTCGTTACAAAAACTTTACCAAACAACTTGATGTTACAAGAAGTTTGCAGGGCTTCCTTGAAGTCTTATAACTTAAATACGAAAAGGCAACCCATAACGTTTACGGAAAGAAAACTAAGTTTCGAACTTTTTTTGTGCAGAAGGTTTTAAGACTGTCGGAAAAGTTATTTATTTTAGCATTTAATAATGAAATAAAACATAACATATTTTACACTCACGCCTGTCACCCAGAAGGGTAGGCAGAGACTACAGACTTCCATTTGGCGCAACCCTGATACACCTCTCTCGCCTTCTCCACATTCATATACCTACGTATACATGCTCGTCGGTCAAGGATACTCCTAATTTGGCCCATTTTTAACTATATCGGCAATTTCATCGGTAAACTTTCGCCTAGAACGTCCCTCTCCAACTCTTCCATTCACTTCTGCAACACATATTTGCTTTATCACTCTTTCCTCACTCTTTTCTTTCTACATGACCAAACCACCGAAAGATTTCTTTCTTAATTTTGGTCACAGCATCATCTTGCCAACCACATTTCTTTTATCACGCAATTTTTCACCCTATCACTCAGATTAGCCCTAACGTACTCCTTATTATATCCGTATATACTGCTGAATTGTTTAAGTTATAGTTTCGTAATCCAGCTTGGGTGCTATATCTGTGTCGATAAACAAAATTACCGACGCTGAAAGTTTTCCCTGTAAAATTGTATTCCTGAGATAGGTAGTTTTTAATTAATGAATTTTAAATTTGAGAAACTTCACTCAGCGGAGGCTGTACTGATCCGTATTGTCAATGGGTGCGTTTGGCAGAAAAAAGCGCTAACAAGCGCTTGTAAGCAAAATGGCGATCGTAAGCGGTAAGCGCTGTCAAATCGTAAGTAGCTATTTTCCTCTAGGACACGAAGTTAGTTTTAACCGGGGAACCTAACCTAATTTAAATATATGTTTGTAAAGTATTCATATTAAAAACTTACCAATCATGAATTTTTAATAACATGTATATGTTTATTCATGTCATTATATTACTTAAAACTAATATTGCACAAAACAACTTATAAACTCTACTTCAAAACAAACAAATTAAATAAGCAAAATGGTGGGTTGTGTCAGCGCTACTGAAGTAGCAAACGTGTCCTGACCGAAAACTGTTTAGTTTCGCCATTTTGCTTACAAGCGCTTGCTAGCGCTTTTTTCTGCCAAACGCACCCAATAACTTTCTAATAAATAATGTGAATGTATTCCTTTAAAATATTTTTCTGTAATGTATTGGAGCAGCTGTTTCACCTCTGTTACGAAGTAAGATAAATTAGGGATCATTAATTGTAATTCTTCATATAATTCTTACGCTGCTCTCATCTACTGTGTGGCTGTGCGTAAATCTTAACAGTTTTGTAATATTTGATTAGAATATTTTTAACTTACTTAAATAAAAAATCAACCAAACCAAAATTTTCATATTGTTGATTTAAATTGTGTTGAAAAAATCTGTTTCATACCTACTTTTTGGAGACTATAGGTTGATCCTTGCCTTCATAATCCAACATCCTTTTCTTTTTCGCTACTCTTTTATTTTCAAATCTTTTTCAATAAATTGTTGAGCATTAGACATTTTTCGAAACCATTTTGTCGATATTCTTTGATCCAGTCACAAAATGTACGCAAGTTTCTGGAGCAATGCCTAAGTGGACTTTTACAGATTGCCATAAATTGCTTATTATATTAACACGTGATAATAATTTAAACCTTGTAATGATTTTTTAAATTTCAAACTGAGCATTTTGTTTAATACCGAATCACAATAACTGAGTGTGTCTAAATGTTCCGTTTGATTTTTTAAACATTCGATGCATCTAACAAGATCATTAAATAACAACAGTATTGAATTAACTGCCTCGTTTCTGCTTTCTTCAGATCAAATATGGTTTTTGAAAGAGAAGAAAGTAAAACGATATGTGAAATAAGAATAGAAGGGAAGTTGATAGAGCAAGTAAATGAGTTTGTATATTTGGGTAGCGTATTTAGCAAGGATGGGAGATATGATAACGATAAAGATATTACAGTTACTTTGCAACCATCCGCTTAATTAAATGATGTGTCTTACCTAGTTTAAAGAGCACCTCCCGCCCTCCCTCAATTGCGTGCACTAATCCCGTCACTACTAATCCCAGCACCACTACTCCCAACAGCACTCTGATGTAAACTCTACGGCGGCTGACCGCTAAGTCTAACTTAGCGGTCAGCCGCCGTAAAGCATACAGACCTGAAGATGCCCCGTGTAGAGGCGAAACACGTGTCGTATTATCGTCGATGGTGTGTCTTTCCTAGAGTAGTGGTGTTGGGAGTAGTGGTGCTGGGATTAGTGGTGACGGGATTAGTGCACGCAATTGAGGGAGGGCGGGAGGTGCTCTTTAAACTAGGTAAGACACATCATTTAATTAAGCGGATGGTTGCAAAGTAACTATTAATATCATTATTATAATTGATTTCCGCAAAGTAACGCCTGATTCTATCAATTATATGATAACAATGTAGAACGACGAGTGAACGCTGGAAATACAGTGAATGGGGCTCTACACTCTATTGTGAAAAGTCAGAATTTGTCGCGAAAGGCATGTATGGTAATTCATAGTGCTGTGTTGGTCCCTACTTTAACGAATGCTAGTGAAAGTTGGGTGTGGGAGAAGAAGCACGAGAGTAGAATAAACGCAGTTGAAATGCGGTCGTTAAGAAGTATGTTAGGGCTGAATCTGAGTAACAAAGGTGAGAAATTGTGTGATAAGCGAAGACAAGATGATGGTGTGACCAGGATTAAGAAAGGAATGCTTCGGTGGTATGGTCATCTCAGACGAAATAAAAACTCAAGACAGAGCCCCGTCGAACAACGCACTGAGGCAGGTAAAACTACGCCTCGCCTTGTACATACACAGTTTCACGCACACAAATATAACGAAACTACGCCTTAGCTTCTCATTCAAGCTATTCCAGCGCACGGAGTGTCACGTTATAATAATTCGCAGTTTTTAAAGAAAAAATGCCGAATTGTGTTATGAAAGGGTGTAAAAACCAATCTTCCAGAAATAAAAAACAGGATGGAATCACATTTCATACGTAAGTATACATAAAAATCCAAATTTTTAATTAATCATGTTTATTATTTATTCTGACAGCTTCGAACATAAAACGTCGACAAGTGCTGCCACTAGTGAGCGTCACAGTAGTCCCCATTTATTCGGTAATTTATTAATGTTACGCGAAACTTAATGTAATTCTATTTAATGTATTTCTATTTTACTTATAATATTTATAAAATTATTTTAAGTGTAAATACTCATTATTTTTTTGTTTTTCCATGTTTTATCACCACTTCAAAAATCTATATTTTTAAGGTACCCCATCCGAAATAATTACATTATCGGATATATATCAGGAAGTACAGCGCATTACTTGTCAAGGGTCATTAAGTGTCAAACGTGTCTAGCTCGCTTACAGTCGGATGAGATATTTGACTTCCATAAACTGATATCTTTAAAAGATAAAGGTGGCTAATCTTTCCGTCGAAAGACCTTTTTGAAATTTGCGTAATTTGTGAAACTGTTGTACGTAAATTATGTAATGAAAGCATAGTGATAGTTACTGAAAACCAACACAAATCAGTTATTAATATTTTAAAAAACTTCCCTGTCCGCGAAATAGACACAATAGTTAAACAACCGAAATGTTCATATATGACTCATGGGACAGTGAAATGGTTAAAACGATTTATTGGTACTGACAACGTTTTCTCTAAATTGGAGACTGAGCATAAAATAAGCTTAATAAGATGCATAATTGAAAAATATTTATCAATTCGTTTCCACCATATTTCTAAATTGGAAACAATTTCCAAAACGGTGGACAGTAAACGGCAATATTTCAAAAAATTGACTCAACAAAAAGGTTATTAAAATAAAAACAATGTTTCTTTCATATTACTATTGTTTTATTTTTCCCCTTCCTGGTCGAAATAAACATACTTACATACATAATAATTATTTTATTATGAATGTAAGTATGTTTACTTAAGTATGTTTGTTAACTAATTAGTTAGCGGAAGGTTGCAAAGTAACGCCTGATTCTATCAATTATACTTTCATACTACTTCTTAAAGTGAGGTATACAATTGAAAAAATTGCCAACTTATCTTTTTTACTTATCCATTCATCCTGATAGTACTTAGACAATAATATATTAGGGTAATAAATTTTTACTGCACGGCAACACTCGCTTGCAGCACACATGTTTACCAAACCGACCTCACTTCTTTGTTGACAGCACTCTGTCTTGAGTTTTTATTTCGTCTGAGATGGTCATATGGAAAAAATGAATGAGGAAAGAGTGACAAAACAAATTTCTGTTGCAGAAGTGAAAGGCAGAGTTGAAAATGAACGTCCTAGGCGAAAGTTTATCGACCAAATTGGCGATATATCGAAAACCTTGGCCAAATTAGGAGTACCATTAACCGACGAGCATGTATATGGATGTGTAGGAGGCGAGAAAGGTGTGTCAGGATTGTGCCAAATGGAAATCTGTAGTCTCTGCCTACCCCTCTGGGTGAGGCGTGAGTGTTTATGTATTATGTGTGTATATGCTTCTGCTTTCTGACCTCGTGTCTAATAAAGACTTCGTTATGAGCTTTAATCGACCTTTGATAATTTGCCAGCGTTTGCTGGAACCAGAAAACAGGAAATAAATATTTCTAATAAAACTAAAAAATATTTTTGCTGCCACGTAAGAATTAGCTGCTTCTACCATCAGCAGATTCCAGTCAAAGCAAGTAATCCAATCAAGTTTTCTTCTACTGAGCCCTTTAATGTATAATAAAATCTTAACTTAACTGACATTTGCTTAATTTTAGTAAGACAGTCTCTATTGCAGTCAACCCAAAAAAGAACAATAATTTCCCTTTTCTTCAAGAATCACTTCATCGGTAACCGTTTTCGACATCAATGTGATCAATCATTTTGAATATCGTGGCTAAAATAAGTCAGTTGTTTGGTAATTTTGATATCAATTTAAATAAGTCAATGAAGTTACCAGAATTCCTAGTGTCATCGTTTGTCTTGATAGATTTTATGTGACCTCTAAATGCGAGATTATGAGAGGCTAAGAAATTAATAATACCAATTAATCTCTGAAGTAAATTGTACAATGTTTTTGAAATTCACAAATCAGTCTCTCGTTTTCTTGATACCCCGTTTTTTCATGTTTAATTCCTTTCTCTAATGTAATCTATTGAAACATAAATGTCATATTATGTTCTTTGCAATTCACGTGTCTCTGCAAAATACTACTTAAATATTTCCAGTCACGACGTTCTCCCTATACCAGTTTGTTTGAAAACAGAAAAAAATATTCTGAGATTTTGAATAAACTAACAACTGACGATGTTGATTTTCACCATTAATTAAAGTTTTCTAGAAAAAGGAAAATTGGAAAAGTGCCTATGATTGTTATCTTCGGTATAATCTTCGTCACCATTATTCAATAATTGTGCGCCGCCACTTTAAATTATAGTACCCGGATGACCGAGCTTTGCTCGGTTTTTTTGTTGAAATTACAATTAGATACAAATTGCATACTGATATATTTTTTGATCTTATTGACATAATAGAAAAAACTGAACTGGTTATTTGAATAAAAACTCATGAGTGCTATTAGTTTAATTAAAATTTTCGTATTTTTAAAAATACTAAAAAAGGGGCTCGAAATAATAGAATTTCTCACAAAAGAAGGGAACATGAAAAAAAAGGAAAAAAATCGGACCGAAGACAGGACGCGAACGAAGGCACTACGATTTCGCGACCGCTCGATATCTACTTGAGCTATTACGATCATTAACGCAGTGTCAAAATTTACCTTCTTATATTGTAGCAATTTTTCATTGCCTGAAAACACGGACAAAAAGACATTTTCTAAAAATAAATTTTACCTAGATCGATTTATTGCCCCAGAAACTCCCTGGACACAAAATTTTATGAAAATCGTTGGAGCCGTTTTCGAGATTCCGATTATATATATATACAAGAATTGCTCGTTTAAAGGTATAGGATAATGATGCTGAGAATCTGTTATGGGAAACGTACGTTTTCCTGGATCCAAATTAATAAATGCTTCGTTAGGTGTTGATTTTATTTCCATTTCCGACTTTTATTCCATATCAGTATTCGATGAGTCTCCCATCATTGCTTCTTAAGTTAATCGGAGTATCGAATATGGCTGTATGTTGTGTAAAAGTTGACGCAATTGATTCAGATGGTAATGTACTGCCAGATGCAATTTTATTGAAACTTCATCATACTTAAATTTGAAGCCTGGTGGTAAACAACGGGCCATAATAGCGCATTCTTTACTCGGTAGCAACGAAGAAAAGTCAGTATTCTATGTCTAAACAGACCGAATGGCGAATCCTAAGCTTTTGCCAGCACGCGGCGAGGATTTCCCGCGATAGCAACGCTTATTTATGTCAATTTTCATAACAAGCAAAACTTTTGGGCACGTTCATGGCTTTTAAGTAATGCATAAACCTCACGGAGCGCGGGGGCCCCTGGATCGCAAGGCCGTAGGCGGTGGCCTACGTCGCCCAAGCCTTATGCCGCCTCTGGCTCCACGGGACACAGCCGCCCCAATAGATTTACAGTGATAAGACAGTATTTGTAGTACATAGGACGAGTATTTGTAATAGTAGCCACGCTGGGCAAGCGGGTGTTCTTCAACCTATGAACAGGAAGACGCCGCTGCCTACCTCCCGTTTCGTTTCTTCTTCGCCTTGTCCGGTACCCACAGAATAATATGGCGTAGTGGATTCTTCACGCCTGTACTACGTAGCGGCAGTATTTCGTTATTTAATATTATTTATAACTGTACCAGTACGGGGGCTTCGGCTCAGTATTACCTTGAATGCATTATTTGGCCTACTCTTGAAATAATCGATCAAGGAATGAATTCAAAATCCGATAATAATAAAAACGCTTTAGAGTATTAGAAGATTAATGGTGGAAGCAACGTGACGATGTGGCAATGTTAGGATGTCCTTTTTATTGATAACGGTGACAAGCGAACTCACCGTCAACCTGATGGTAAATGGATACTATGGCCCACACACATATACATCTATTCTGGGTTAAAAATAAAATACAGATGCGGTGTCACCCTCGAGAACTAAGGTGGAATGCCTCATTTCCAGTAAAAAGAACCTCAGGTTCTCTACATTCAGCATAGTAACAGCAACGTTAAGCTGCTATTTTATGCTGGTATTATGTGTAAGTGCGTGGTCCTTCACCAGTGAAGCTGAGACATTCGTGTCACAACCACAATATAGCTGTAGCAGGGCTCTAGCAAGTAACCTGTGCGTGCCTGTGCTTGTGCAGTGAGCGGCGGCGAGGAGGGTGCGGGTGCCGCACGGGAGGACGTGGTGTCGCTGCTGTGGCACAACCTAGCCGCACGCATGACGCCAGCCGTACAGGAGGTTGTTGGCTTCGCCAAGCGCCTACCCGGCTTCCACACGCTGCCACAAGACGACCAGCTTATACTCATTAAGGTATATTATCACAAATTACTCTATTTCATGTCAGTCCTAACAATATATATATATATATATATATATACTAGCTTGCCAGGCAGACGTTGTTCTGCCCTTTTCGACGAAAATTTGTCATGTCCTATTAAAAATCCTTAAATTTGTAAAAAAATTGTGGGCAAAAAGACCTATCCTGTCTCTCAAGTTGGACTAAACTGCACACGGTATGCAAATTTGATTAAAATCGGTTAAGTAGTTTTAGTTTAAGGAGTCCATCGCGGACAAACAACGTGACACGTAATTATATATATATATATATATATATATATATATATATATATATATATATATATATATATAATGAAATAGGTTTCGGACAAATTTTATTGAGATTTGACTATACACAAAATAACTATACATATATTTATGAATTTATATATGATGCAACTGTAAGACAGCCAGCGCCGCCGTGAGACTCCAATCGCTTGTAATGGGTAACTATACTTACAGTTTGATATTGGCAATTATGAAATTCAAATGGTAAAAATTGTGTGTAAATGTGTATAATTGCTTTGTCATATAAAACGTGCTGATTTAAATCATTCCAACAACATAGAACGAAGTACTATATATCATCGTTAGAAAATATCCAAACCGTGCCGCTGAGCGAATGAGATAATTATGTACCGGACTCCCTCGCCTTATCAAGTCATAAGTATTTGTAGGTTATTATGATGCTGTGTGTAAGATATTACAATTTTGGCGTATTATGTATGTATTTATTATGTGTATGTGCTGGCTGTTGTTTTATTTGTTCCGATTGCGGTAATTTTAATATGCCAATTATGCGCGATTCCCGACAAAGCTATTCCCATTTATGAAATCATGTGCTGAGTATTTGCAGAATTTTTTGCAGTTTTCACAATATTTACAGCTAGGGTTTTTCGAAGTTTGGCTGACAAGGATAACGAGACTGTCCACGCCGTCCAGCATTGTCTTCGAAGACGGAACTGCCTTCACACACAGCCAGCTAGAGATGATTTATGATGTTAGTATATACTTTATATTCATAGATTTTTTTTAATATTAAGAGAACCTGGAACCCGAGAGACGCTTTGCAGGCGTCTTAAAAATAAGTAATTTTTGAAGGTCCCCTATTCCTAGAAAATGATGATCATGGTGAAATTTCGTCGCCGAAATTAATCCAAACTACTCATCGAAGCAGTCTCTGTAGTAATGAGGATAAATATGTATAGAAACGCAATGTAAGTTCACAAAGCCGCTGGAGACAACCCAATGAATAAATTCGATCGTCGACAATTCGAAACGCCTTTCGCTGGATGCGAACCAAAGGTACTGAGGTGCATTGAACATTTAAAACAAAATCAAAGGCCTGCAGATAATATTAGGTTATTATCAGCCCTGATTCTAAGTTTTAAGAAAATGATGGCATAAAGTGTTTTTTCTTTACACAGAAGTAAACCAAACTGACTGAGTATATACTCACTCTCCCCGCTCCCATTCGAGTATCTCTCAATAGAATTGAAAAGAATTGTTTTTATTCAATACCAGCCTGCTACCTGGCACGTAATAATAAATAATTATTGAAATATTGTTTATGTACTGATTGTAGCTGGTTAAAAGCCCCTAATTTGTTATTTAATCGTTATGAACGATTAAATGGGGCTATTGCCCGAGGTGACCAATCACCCCTCAAGGCTTTCTATCGACCTTCCGAACAACCTGTGTAGTTTAATGAGGAATCATAATACATTCATTGCAGTTGTATGACATATAACTTACAAATGAATTTGTCGGTAAGACATGTGCGCCACCCATTGGTAGTTATCACGTGTCTATAACGTGCAAGTAATGCGTTGACAAAGTTTTACCGTAATCTGATATACGGTATGGCATCCCATAAAATACGAGCAAACAAACATTAAGTTTTAAATATTAGGCAGATTATTACATAATACTTATCAAATTCATTTTTTTAATAAGAAGTGCAGGGCTAAGTTCAGCGGTGATTCGTTTACACTTATGTACTGTCAGACCTGTCACTTCTGAAGACACGTTATAATGCCTCGTTTCCAGTGAAAGGGATCCCTTTTTATACTCACCATACGTAATAGAGCTGCATTGAGCTGTTATATTACTCTGGTGTTCTGTGAGAGCATAGTCCTACCGCGGTGGAGCTGACCCATTCGTGCTACATCGATAATACAACTGCAGCATGGCTCTACGACGCATGAACTACTAGTATTGTTAAGAACCCCGCAGGCGCAGTTCGCGACAGCGATGCTGGCGTACGTACAGACGGTGGGCCGGCTGCGCGCGAGCGACGAGGAACTGGCGCTGTTCACTGCGCGCCTGCTGCTGAGCCCGCACCGCGCCGCCCTCAGCGAGCGCGACCGCATCGCCGCCATGCACCGCGCTCTCGCCGATGCCTTCCGCCACGTGGTGAGCCTTCTGAACTGAAAACGACATTACGGGAGTTGTGATCTGAAACTGTACGAAACTAAAATGCGACACTAAAACGGGACAAACATACACATCTATATTATTTAGCCTCCGAGCAAATGAGATAGATAAATTAGGCGTGTTTAGACTATATCTATAGAATGAAGTAGATGGCGCTACTACAAAGCAATTTCACTCGCAAGAAAATGTTCTTTTGATTTATTACTGTATGGTTTGTAGGCCACACACTTTTAGGTTGTAGGAGTTGTAGTTAGTTGATGAGCACGTCAAAAGGAAAAGATCACCAAAGTTAAAAATTTAATTAAAAAGTAAAATAATTATAAAGTTAGAGTGGCGAATCTTTCCTCGAGTAGATGGTGTGTTGGTGAAGGACGGTTGTTGACGTACTGCCGATCGTCGGCTTGCAATTATATAGGTCACGCGACGCCCGGCTAAAGTAGGTTGCAACGTTTACTAAATAAAAATGTGTGGTGTAACCACACAATTACACTAAAATTTAGGCTCTACATGTCAAAGGTAAGGTTACAAGGTCAAAAATAAGGATTGCGACTTTTTTTTGCTATTAAATTATACTAGTTATTACATTAGGCGTGTTTAGACTATATCTATAGAATGAAGTCGATGGGACGCTACTACAAAGCAATTTCACTCGCAAGAAAATGTTCTTTTGATTTCTTACACTAAAATTTATTTATTAATTGAATTTAACAACTATCATGACAGGAATAACCTAATGCGACAGTGTAGTTCCTTTTATGCATAACAAAAATGTAGAAATTAACTGTAACAAATTGTAAACAATCCCACCCTAGTAAGTTCACTCAAGGAGTAATAGAATAGGTCAATATCTTCAGCCATTCTATTAAGAATGCGTAGCGTTCGCGTTAAAGGTGATTTATCTAGTAAATTGGATCGGGCGCGCGGCACGAAGAGCACCTGCGGCCGCCGCCGTTTCCACACGTACCCGTCTGGAACACACAGCCCAAGTCGCCCCAATATGTCACTATTATACATATTTATTTCTCTAAGCACTTTAAAAATATATAAGGCTAATGCGAGGTCTCGTGTTACTCTCAACTCGTTGTAGCCAACCATACCCAGAATAAATAAGGTTGGGTACATTAATGGGTACATAGGGTAGACACCATAACGACGCATATATAGGTACCTAATAAATTTATTTTGCACACGTTCTAGCATTGTGCTATACCTTTTTTCATGTGGCGACCATATTACGGCATTACACTCCAGATTACTTCTTACCAGTGTATTATACAGAGTAACGATTAAATTAATGTTAGTAAAACCGTAAACTGTGCAAATAATTAAGCCCAAGTTTCTATATGCTTTTTGCAGCAGTAGAGAATGTGTTACCTAAACGATAATTCACTATTTAGCCGAACGATCTATAACTTCTTTAACTCTTACCATTGGCGAACCATCGACTTCATACTTATATTCAATGGGCGTGCGCTTTCTAGTAAATGAAATGGTAACACACTTAACATTATATATATCATAACATTTAGGCTCAACATGTCCTTATAAATAAGGATTGCGACGTTTATTCGCTATGGAATTATACTAGTTATTAAATTAGGTATGTTTAGACTATATCTATAGAATGAAGTAGATGGTGCTACTACAAAGCAATTTCACTCGCAAGAAAATGTTCTTTTGATTTCTTATACTAGAATTTAGGTTCTACCTGTCTAAAAATAAGGATTGAAATGTTTATTTGCTATGAAATTATACTATCCTATATCTCTTTCTCTATCAATTATCACTTATCTAATTGATATCCGGTGAGGGCCTCCATCGTCATTAGCGCCCCATTGTTCTTACCTATTTATCTATTTTTCATTGAATACCGTCATTGTCTATTTTTCCTCGGCGTATGCGTCGGCTTATCAGTGCTATTGTATTATACTTCTTTGTTCCTATCTACAACGCTAATCTGAATCATCAATAAAACACATTACCTAATTTTGTTACAATTTTTATTTACAAAATACAAAATCTTATTACATATTGTCTATAAAATAGGAGCGAAACATCTCATCCACTAAAATATCATTGTACAATGTGTTCCCTGTAAATATGCTCGTAAAACTATGCATTGAACATCCCTGAAACTTATATAGCAAATACATTAAGCAATATTCGCTATAAACTGAAGTCCACTCATTCTGAATACTAACAACTGGAATAGTTACATCTTTTACAATTCCTTTTTAAAAACTCTAGATGATATCGTACAGGTGATCGTCCATATGAATCAAAATATTGACCGACGTCATTCGTATCGATAGCTACCCAATGTGACCCTGGTTTATCATCTGTATCCAAATTGCACATTATATACGTTGGTACGTGGGTGTACATGGGCAGTCTATTAGTAGCATAAACATTATTTTCTAGACTGGGGTGAATCTTTTTCAGATGTTGTTGTACATCTAGTGTATCCATGATATTACTGCTATTAGTAGATTATTACAGTACAATCTACTCAATGACTAACATAGGAATGATCAATTATAGTGATTTCCAAATATTAAATTGCATTCTTTTGTTGAGTCATCGATACACTGAACAAGACGCAACACGAAGGAATGTTGAGATAAGCAACAGAATGTGAGATAAGCTTGTTGACGCATAAAGTTACTCGTATCAGTTCCACTGCAGAAATTCTTTAGATTAGAATTATTACTTACTGGTACTATATAAGACCGAGCAGCTGCAGTCATGGAGTTAGTGTATGGTCGTTTGACCGCAGTGGATCTATCAATACTACGTTTGTGTTACTTCAACGCATCAAAGGCCATAGATGTAAGTGTTTATTCTATTGACAAACTTACTTTTCTTTCTGTTATTTTCCTACGTGTGTATGAATTAGTGTTAACAAATTATATTTAAATATTATATGTGTGTATGATTAAGCCGTGGTAGCTCAGATGGTTTGTGCAAGCTGTATATTTCACAGTACGCGACCCGGGTTCGTTCCCCGCCGGCACCAATTAAATTGTTAATTGCAATTTTGAGTGCTGATTTACCACGTGCTCAGCGGTGAAGGAAAACATCCTGAGGAAACCTGCATGTCTGAGAAAATTTCGATGGCATGTAAAGTTCGCCAACACGCATTGAGGCAGCGCGGCGGACATTTCCTAGCCCTGAATACAAAGACAATAGCAGAAAGTTAAAAAGTTAAAAAATACTTTTTTAACATAGACAGTCATTAGTTGATCATTAGTGATTCTGTTTACTTAAATTACAGGAAGACAAAAGCAGAAGGAAGAAATGGGATGATGGGAAGTAATGAAGCATTGTTATGTGAAGTTTGTTGGAACAAACATATTTTTAGTCACGTTTAATACTTTTAAGCTTTTGGTTCAAAATGACACAAAATCTAAAAAATATTAGATACATCATCGACATGGACGGATTTTACATTACATATCCTCATAAACATTTTCAATGTAGAGAAATGTCTATTCTAGACGTAAAACTATCTAATAAAAATTATGTGTTTATCGATCATTATTTGTTTCGGCCAAGTTATCCTTTCAATTATTTGTCGCCAAAAGACAAAAAAACTGTTCGTTATTGCGAAACACAAGTGCACGACATTCCATATTTTGACGTGACCGAAGAATTAACATGTGCTTACAAACAAGAGAACATCATTCCCATATTAAATTGGTATATTAGAAATTTGTGCAAAGACGAAGTGATCGCATACAAAGGTGGTTCAGCAGAAAAACAATTTTTAAAAATGTTGACGACGAATGATAGAATTTTTAATATTGAAGAATACAAATGTCCAAAATACAATGATTTGGTAAATGTCATAAATATAAACAAACGTTATGTGTGTAATAATCATATATTTACAAAAAATAATCACAAAATTTTACATTGTTCTTGTGATGAAGTGTGGGTTTTTACAAGTGGTTATTGCTTGAAAATAAAATTTTAAATTAATCATAAATTTTGTTCATTTCCCAAAAACATTAGTTATAGTACACAATATATATATTAATTGTTTACCTATACCAACACTTTCATTTTTTATTTCACCCCTTAGAACTTTAGACGTGTGTAATGTTTCACTTTATACATCCGTTTACTGCTATTGTGGCAGGACCAAGTGGATGTGGGAAGTCAAATTTTGTAACAAATTTCATAAAACCAGTTACAGAAATATGTAATTGTGATTTTAATCAGATCACAGGGTGCTTTGATGAAATGCAACCTCTATATAATTTACCAAATGTTTGATGGTGAAAACCCACATCTTGTTATTATTGATGATCTAATGAGAGAGTCCGATGTAACTTTAAACTCGAACAGTGTTTTGTATTAGATTAAATAGAAGATTTATAAAGAAATAAAAAATAGTATATTGCATACAATTTGTTTTATTTAATTTTATAACGTTTCACATAGTTACATACACACAAAATGCATTACACATAACACATAAAATATAACACACAACACATATTATAACCTTAACTACTATAGTCTACAGTAACATTTCTGTTTTCATCTATCTCAATAATATTATCAAACTCAGCATAAACTATACAGTTAATTGTTTGTATTAGTGGGGAGTCAAATCGTACTTCTAATCTTACACTACCATGCTTTATGAGATTTCAATGAGCTGATGAGTTGGCTGATAAATCAGGAGTTAAGTCAAAGGCTAATAGACAGTAACCTTTGGCATACTGTTCACAAGAGATTCCATTTCCTTCATTAAGAAAGTGAATACCAGTTCCCGAGAATAGAGTATGATATGCTGATGTAAATATACTATTATTAAAAGATTGTTGCAAAGCTTTTGAAGGTATTTGTTGACCATCAATATATAAGCTGAAAGAATTAATAGCATAGTTTTCAAAATTAAATGGATTTTTAGTAAGGGAACCATTAAATGCAGAATTGGTCACAAATCCAATTATACATCTTGTGCGTACCTGTCCTAAAATATCAAG